GTTTGGCACACACTACCTTTGGATAATTGGTCTAGTTTTATTTTGTTTTTTAAGGCTAGAAAAGAACTGAAAAGTTTCAAGATATCAAAGACTTCTTTGAGAAATCTTCACTTTACACCCTACGCCACTAGGCGGCGGTACAAACAGCTAATTAACAAATCGCAAGTCGTAACTGTTCCAAGACTTTGGCAATTTCGTTTACAGTTGCCCAAAATGTGACGTTATTTGCGGGTAAGAAAAGTGATGAATATATGAAGTGAAAAATGCTTGGAATTTCCTTTGTTTATTGTAAACATCCTGTCTTACAATCGATAAAATATTTTTTTTTTTGTTCATGCTTTCACTGGATTCGTTTCTTTATAGAATTCTATCAACTTTTTATTGTTACAGACCTGGCGCGGCTTAGTAGTTAGCGTGCCGAGCTGCGTATTGAAAGGTCCAAGAATCCAGAGGCCACGTGCTACTGAATACACTCGCATTTTCAGCTATGGAGACGTTATAACTGAGACAATTAATCCCGCTAATTGGTTAAGAGTAGCCGTGACGTGGCTTAGTGGTTAGTGTGCCGGACTGCATATCGAAAGGTCCGAGCCTCAATATATTACTTAAAATATTCAGTATTTTCAGGTGTTATAATTCTGACAGTGAATTTCGCTACTCGGTTAAAAGTAGTCATGTAGGCGGTAGGTGCTGCTGATTAGTTGCTCTTTCCCTCTGATTAGCAGCTCTAAATAAGAGATGGCTACACGTGAACTTAGGGCCTCTGACCTTGACGTTTAGTCTGTATATCGCATAATGTGCCGTTCAGGCTGAAAATACTGTTGCGTCAGCGAGATCACGTGACTAGTATCACGCCACCCGTTTTCTAGAACTATCCTGTTCTTTCGGGAGTGCTCTGGCATTTGCTAGATTGGGGGTGGCCTGGTATATATAAGATGGTCACGGCGTGACGTGACAATGTTTGTAGGTAGTGAGTAATTGAACTGCAGTCGGAAAGTATTGTTGAAGTTAACGTTCGTTGTTATAGAGCGAGTGTTGAAAATAAGTGTATCGGTAAAGTTATATTCAGAAATAATAAACCAGTTTTATTAAGAAAGGACTTGTGTCGCTAAAGTTTCGTGGGAACGAAGTTACGGAAAATCAACTAACGAACGGAGACGTAACAATACGAAACACTTGTTATTATTATCCAAAGTGCCAATCATTACATCCATGCTGTTAACTAGCTGCCTTCCCTTTAGACTATCAGTTTAAAATTAGAACCAGTTATGCCTAGATATTTCCTCGGTGCCTTTTGCACCTCTTGAACTGGTCAGTCGATTACGGTAATCTACATGAAACCTCGATGTATGACGTAGATATCCATTTTGAGCTACTTTTCAACATGTCAATAACACCTGCATCTACTTAAGAATTAGAATATTGTTCCTTTGGGGAGATTCTACTTGCCGTATTCTAAGATTAGTTAGAGAGTATTTCAAACATCAACTTCCACCCTAACAAATCGGTAAACAGCAGTAGAAAAAAAATCAGAAGAAAAATTATGTAGGTTCAGTTTACAGCATATACAGATTGTGTGGATTAATTTAAAGTTATGCGGTTATCAGTATATTAATCCGCTTCATAGACGTAAGGAAGTAGATAAAGAAAACGTGTTACAACATGAATAATTCAGTTTGAAATTTTTGTTTTGTTTTTGCTGATGTATATAATGCGGAAGGTGTTGTTGCAGTTACTTGTGGCAGGTTGTTTTTTACGGGTTGGAGTTGCTAGCCCCGCGCCCAACCCTCCTACTTTCTCATCCTGGACTTGGGACCAGGCAAAGGCGGAGGTTGACATGAGTCGAGCGCCCTAACCACTTGGCCATGCCGGCCCTTTGCTGATGTATATAATGATTTATTTTGGTTACGGTTAAATGTTTATCATCTAAGCCTTAGAGTCCAGAGTGTTACATTAAAATATATTTGTAACGTACAACCAAAAGATCCTTGAAGTTACTACGTAAGTTATCAAAAATATTAACAATAATTTTTATTAAGTGTTACATTAAAATATATTTGTAACGTACAACCAAAAGATCCTTGAAGTTACTACTTGAGTTATCAAAAATATTGACAATAATTTTTCTCAAGTGTTACATTAAAAGATATTGGTAACGTACAACCACAAGATCCTTGAAGTTACTACGTAAGTTATCAAAAATATTGACAATAATTTTTATTAAGTGTTACATTAAAAGATATTTGTAACGTACAACCAAAAGATCCTTGAAGTTACTACGTAAGTTATCAAAAATATTGACAATAAGAAACAACTCCATAATTCCAACTTAATCACTGTTGGGCTTAAAAACGAAAAATTTAATAGCTTAACCCACGGGCGTCCGCAAGGGGGGGGGCATCCCCCCTGGAAGATGAGAGACAATAATTCTTTCTTTATTCATTCAGCATGTATATGAATTTTTAGTTTGTTTGTTTGGAATTAAGCACAAAGTTACACAATGGGCTATCTGTGCTCTGCCCACCACGGGTATCGAAAAACGGTTTCTAGCGTTGTAAGTTCGCAGACATACCGCTGTGTCACTGGAGGGCTACGAATTTTTTTATTCACTTCACAATTTCACGCTACTTTGCACACACACACACCCCCCACCTGGACAAATTTCTGCGAACGTCCATGGCTTAACCTCCATCTTTTTTGGGGTCCCCCAGTTTTGCACTAAAATAAACAAACAAACCATCTTCTTGGTCGATATTTTTTTCTTATGAGTTTGTTTTTAAGTACAAAAGTTACACAATGTGCTATCTGTGCTCTACCCACTGCGGGTATCGAAACCCGATTTTGAGCGTTAAGAATTACCAATGGGTCGCCAGTTTTTGTTTTTATAAGAAGAGGTTTTTCAAAGAATCTCATAAAATTTTCACGTTGTAAAAACTACGTTTCCACCTCTACAGATTCCCAAAATTAAAAATAAAAATTTCTACTGTTTCAGGTTATTCCTGAATTAAAAATTGCTACCGTTTCAAATTTCATAATAATTACATGTATCTACTTTTTCATATTCCTAAAACGACTTTGGTAACTTTAGTTTATATATTTGTTTATACGAATATAGTTTACTCGGCTAACATTGCTAGTTGAACTTGGGGAATGTTCTAAGACAGAATTAACAGCGGAATTTGGGGAATGTTTTAAGAAAAAGTTAATAACGGATTTAAGGAGTATTTTAGGTTGAGACTTTATTAAATACTAACTGGAGTACCCGTCCCCTGGACGGAAGTTATGCAAATTCATGATTAATGAAATGTTATTTTAAGACATGAAAAGTTGGTTCCTTTACATGTAATTGTAAAAAAACGCAAAACACAAAATGTGAAACCGCAAGTTTGCATGTATCTCCGCATAGACTCAACAAACCTTCATGCCAAATTTGGTGAAGATCCATCAACAGGGGGCGAAGTACTGGCAAAAACGCCCATAAAAACCGCAAAATGCAAAACTGAAAATTTGTACGTATCTTTCCATGGACCCAATGAATCTGCATACCAAATTTGGTGAAGATCCATCAACAGGGGCGAAGTAGTTACATGAACATAAACAAACAGTACTATTGTTCAGTACTGCTATTATTCGACCAAACCTTTTATCATCATGTATGAAAATTATTTTAATGCTATTCGATTCACTTAACTCTGTGTTACTATTCCTTGTCAGTTATATGTAAAATAATTTTTATTTATTCGACAGAACTGGAAGCCAACAGCTAGTATTTGTCTGTTCCGTAAGACTATTTTTATATTTATTGTGGTTTTCATTAGCCGTATTGGTTAGAATGTTTGTTGTTTATTGTATTAATTTTTATTTTTATTACTGTGATTTTATTATACAGATTATTTTGCATTATTAGCTTAAAATATGTACTTAGGACTAACGTAAGTTTCCTAAACCTTGTGAGATGTTATTGGGTTTACGGCCGAAAATGTTGTTAACAACGAGACTACCTAACTGATGAAACAATGAATTCTAATCTTTATAGGTAAGGACGTAAGAACAGTATATTTAATTAGCTGTAATGATCACTAGGTTGATTTTTAATTTCCTTCTATGTAGGTGGCTTTCTCTGGTCGGAAGTTAATATTAATTATTCACATAAGCCAGATTTGTCCCTCCTGGACCGAGCGTGACTCAATAGTTAACGTTACTTTACCTTGGGTGCACTATAAGGGCGATTGTCAAATCCCACTATTCGGTAAGACAAGAGTAGCTCGGAAGTTGGCGGCGGGGGCTGTTAACTAGCTGCTTTCCCTCTAGTAGCTTTGTGCGAATATTCGAAAAGAAACAAAGTATCGCTCCTGAATAAGCAGGTGAAATCACAAGCTATATCGGCACACACTGTTTGCGCAACATAATGTCAGTGTATCACCTTACTTGACTAAGTCTTCAAAGGGAATTCACGTTTTTGTAATACAAACATCACGAAAATATAAATATTTTATCTGAACCTTGTCTATTTAAAATTGAAATAGATATAAACATAATATTACTGGTACTAGACTTAATATAAACCGACAAAGAAACCTAGTCTACAGAGTAAAACGTCCATTAAAAAGGTAACGGGCCATTTGATGTGGTTCTTTTATACTTTAAACTCACGAAAGAACATCTTAAATTTCTTAGAAAAACACACCCCTGTCCGTTAAATTTCCACAGAATTACTCAAGTTACAGTCCACAATGTCCCCACTTTCAGCACTCCCTCTATCTTCCCCCATACTACCTCTTAAAATCAGTAAGCATATGAAAAAGAAGTTCCTGGTTCAATGATAGTGTTACTCGGGAACTGCATCCACATTTAGCATTCGTTTTTGTGGTACACTTATTGTACATGAAGAATAAACTGTCGGAATTATACAACTAATGTCGTAAAAACCAATACTTCACTGTTTTCTTCCTCCCAAAGTAATGATCCAGCTGAAGATTTCATTAAAATATGAAATAAAGCTCCAGCTGAGGATTACATTAAAATAGGAAGTAAAGCTCCAACTGAGGCTTACATTAAAATAGGAATTAATGATCCAACTCAGGATTACATTAAAATAGGAAGTAAAGATCCAACTCAGAATTACATTAAAATAGGAAGTAATGATCCAACTCAGGATTACATTAAAATAGGAAGTAAAGCTCCAACTGAGGCTTACATTAAAATAGGAAGTAAAGCTCCAACTGAGGCTTACATTAAAATAGGAAGTAAAGCTCCAACTGAGAATTATATTAAAATAGGAAGTAAAGATCCAGCTGAGGATTACATTAAAATAGGAAGTAAAGCTCCAACTCAGAATTACATTAAAGTAGGAAGTAAAGCTCCAACTGAGGATTACATTAAAGTAGGAAGTAAAGATCCAATTCAGAATTACATTAAAATAGGAAGTAAAGCTCCAGCTGAGGCTTACATTAAAATAGGAAGTAAAAATCCAACTCAGAATTACACTAAAGAGGACATTTAATAAATCGCGAGATAATAACAAGACCGAATGAATAGAGCTTATAGTTTTCTGCCGTTAAAACGACGTAAATTCAATCGTTTCAAAGACTCGTCTTAATGTTTTCCTCGGCAGATACACAGGAACCACGTCATCCATACAAACTCCATTTGAGAACTTCGGAAGTTTGTTATCACGATTGCAAACATTTTGTTTTTGCCGATTCATTGCCAGTTTTTCGGTTCTAAATGTTTTTAATTAAATATAGCGGTAATATTAAGCTAGAAGTTTCGACCTTTTGACCATAGAGTTATCGGCTTTAGAATAAAACAACTTTTTCCAAACCATTTACGCACCAGCTTAATGAATTGGAAACCGTCCTATTATTTAAGAATGCACGATTCGAAATCCCAGAAATCGTTATTACAATTTCTTTATTATATACAATGTTGGTTTTGATCTGTAAATATTTAACAGTTTGTAGAAAACTCGAAAACTGTAGCAATCACAGTTCTATTCTGAATCTCTAGTTATTTGCACCTATAAACCTTGTTACAGAAGTGAGTTTGAATATACTAGTCCCCATTCTCTAACCCTAAGATGAGTCCCGTTAGCTTTTTAAATGTATTTTCCGAACTATTTATGCAACAAAGTGCTTCTGTGGTAGTGTTTGTTTGTTTTTTGAATTTCGCGCAAGGCTATACGAGGGCTATCTGCGCTAGCCGTCCCTAATTTAGCAGTGTAAGACTAGAGGGAAGGCAGCTAGTCATCACCACCCACCGCCAACTCTTGGGCTACTCTTTTACCAACGACTAGTGGGATTGACCGTCACATTATAACGCCCCTATGGCTGAAAGGGC